TCATGATGAACAAGAAAAGGCCAAACGTAAGGCTGAAAAAAGGGAAGAGAGAATGAAAGCAGCAGTTGAAGTGTGAACACAGATGAAGGCAGGTTGAAACTGAATCACCTAGTATAAAGCTCTGAATAACAGAATAAGTAAAATGGTGGCATGCCTTAGTGGCAAGTTCTTCCCCTCTATCACAATGAAATCTTTCTGTGATGATGGGTATTTAGGGTTTTTTATTTGTGGTATAATCAGCTATTTGTTGATTCCCCCTCTTCAACTTTTCTGGCCATACTGTAAACTAAGTACAGTAACATGATATGTGATAATTAGATCTTGTTCTTAAAATATACATTTATATTGAGATGGTCAGTTTACACAGGCATATACTTTCAGAATCATATAGTTTTATACTGGACTTTGCAAAAATTTTAACTCATTTTGGGAGAGAATATTCCTCTGTTTCATCACCATAACTACTGTGCAGATTTTGATGAAGTTTGTTACTGGGGGAAGGGAGGGATTCAGTGAAAGTTGGCCAGCAAATTTAGTTTCATTTCGTGTTAGTCCAGTGTAACTTATACTTTACTTGAAGATCAGAGCTGAAATTCAGCTACTGATTTTCTCAAAAAATAGTTCAGAAAATAACTGATATTAAAGAGTGTTATACCTAACTGTGACCTCAAATAACTCTCTTATTTTAACATATACAAGAAAATGTTTCAAATAAAATGTACAGTGTCTGATGGGATAGGCATTAAGTGAAAGAAAACTAATGGGGTTAAATGTGGCTCAGGTCCACCACATCTGATCCAGTGATCAGGAATCTGCCGATGAAGTATTCATCTGCATGTGCATAATGTGTGGAACAACCATCATGTCGGATTGAACATAGTGGGCATGTGGGATTGGCCACCAGGATCACCAGATTTAACTCCATTATTTTTCTTTCTTTAGGGAACAACAAAAGATAAAATTTATCAAAATCCACAACCACAGCATAAGAAATGCAACAACACATTGTAGTATCTGCTGCTGTATCATTCAGACTTTGCTATCCATGAATTTGCCCTCAATTCAATGCATCCAAAAGTGTATTGATGCCAGTGATTACCATTTTGAACAGTTATTACTTTTGTATGAACTTTACAATTGTCAGTGTAAATATCTATCATACTTTGAGTGGTGATGTCTTAATGTTAGTTCATCAATAATCAATGTGTTGTGTGAACTTGACTCAATTCAAGCTTAAAAAATTGAAAGGGCTCCATTTAGAAAGCAGAAGGTAACTTTGTTAACTTCATAACAATGATTCTATAATTAATATCTTACCACTTAATGTATACCCTTTAGATACTGTGTACATTTTATTTTAAACTTTTTGTATGTTAAAATGAGAAATATTTGAGGTTGCTAAGTCAGGTGGGACAGCCTGTATATTTCACCAAGGCATGAAATTATTTTAAACATTTGTTGTCTTGAGTATTTAAGAAAAATAATATTGACTCTTTGTAGTGTTATTAATTTTGGATTTGTTATCTGTAATATGTGGACATCAAGGACAAAGAAATTATCAAAATGTCAAGGCATTTGAAAAATAAATGTACTTATCATTTGTTTATTACTGTCATATTTTAGTCATAAGATACCTCTGTAGTTTTTCTATACTTCTATTTTGTGCTTTTAATAGCACACACACTTATCAGTCCTCTCTATTTTTGTTTATTTGCCTTGCTAACCAGAGAGACGTATTGCACTGTTCATATTTTCATTCCAACATAAGATACAAATAAATGGCTCTGTTCACATTATTTGAATGTTGTTTATTATATATTGAGATGTCAGCTTCAGAGTCAGTCCACACTAGATGTCCTAAGCATGACTGCATAGTGTGACTAACATAAAAAACACATAATGTTGTCCAATTTGAGTGTCAGCCAGAAGATTGTCTACACTGATTTTTGTGATTTTCTTTACTCCCACTAGACAGATGCTGGGACACTACTGTAAAATAGGCCAAGTAGATAGCATCAGTTGCATTCAATCTCATTCTGTTATTTGTTGGTCTGTCTTGGAACACCTTGGTGGACAAACTAACAACAGAATGAGGTGGTATGAACATGTTTCAGGAATGAATGAAGAGAGAGTTTCAAAAGGGTTTTGAACATGCAAATTAAGTGTGACACAGTTTCTAGTTCCTGTAAATTATCATGCCACACTGCATATATGTGTAATTGCTTATATTTTACTGTCATATTTTCAAACCAGATGTTACAGCACAGCTATAATGCATATACCAAATTCCATGTGAATGTGGTAAAGTAGGCCAGACTGGGAGCTCCATCGAGGTTAGGCATAAAGAGCATACGAGACATGTCTCGAACAGCCTGAGAATTCTGCAGTTGCGGAACATAGCATAAACACAGCATCACATTGAATTTAGCTGTACCAGCGTGTTGGACAAGATGACAGATTCTGTGGGCTGCCTCATGAAGGAAGCAATTGAAATTCGTCTGAACACCAGTAACTTCAACAGAGACGGGTTTAACGTTGGGCCAGGCTGGTACCTGGTGTTGAACAAGCTATCCAATGAGAAAGCTGGACTAATCAGAGTGAACACTACACTGCACACCAGTCCGTATTGGCTAGCATGCAGCCATGTTTGGGCAGGTATATATGTAGCATGGGCTGGATCTCCAACCACTTCAGTACTCTGAGGACGAGGACAAAGACGGTTCTCAGAACATCAGTGTTTTCACCTTTCAACCACCTGATATGGCTGGTAGCCCGAGAAGAATTCATTATACTTGGTTGCCGTGAAAACTTTAGTACAGAATGGTTTGTCACTATGACATACTGCAGCCCCTTGATGTGGAAGTGATTGCCTTCATATATGGATAAGCAGTTGTGTGCAGTTAAGAAGGGGTTGTCCTCCAGCTTGCAGATTAAGCTAATAGTCTTTCATGATAAAACTTAATTTTTTAGAACTGCCAGTAAAGACTTGGAATCAAACAAGGAAAAATGGGTGGGATAACTGTGGCCACAATTCCTCCTGCAATTAGCTCTGAGACAAATGTAGATAAAGGATAATATTAATCTTTACTGTATGAAAACAAGGAATTAAAATTCCTATACTTCTGAGCTGCTTGCTGGATTTTAACTTTGGAGTTAATGGTGTGCTGCTGCAACACATGGCCAGCTGGACTGCATGTAAGCCACAATAAAATACCAATAAAAGTTTACATGAATCTCAGGAAATGATTTGAGGATATAAACTGTCTTGAGAGGGGTTAACTGGTGGACTTTAGTGGTAATCGTGATGAATCTTAGGTTGCTCAGCAGAAAATTAATCTCACAGCAAAGGTTGTATCAGAGAATTAGAAGTATTGGTTCATAATACAATCTTATTCAGATAACATCAACTTTATTACAACTAACAGGTATAGTAATATATACCCATTACATAATTCCCTGACATTGAAGACTAAGATAGTCTCTGAAATGTTTCACTTATGTTCTGAAATTATGTCTAATTTCCTAAATAGTTACCATTCCTTATTCAGTTTGACTAAATGCCATGTCACAGGTGAAGCCCTAAGGATTGGAGTTGTGAAATTAAACTACTGACAAGCCCTAAACATCTTATCAGTGGAATGGTGATCATCCTGAAGAACACAGAGAAAAATATGGTCCAGTATTTCATCTTGAACCCCACATGGATTGTCATGGACCTCTGCAGTGAAAAATGAACACCTGGCAACTTGAGGTATGTTTTGGTCATAATAATTTGTGAATCATTCTGACATGTAGCAGTATTAATGTTAATATAAGTTCAAAAGACAATGACTAAGCAATTTCATGATAACCAGTCAGACTGTAGCAGTAGTTTGGCTACTACTACAGGTAAGTTTGTATTAATTTTCATCCCTGCACTCACTGTATAAAGGGCAACAGCTCCTTTCATTGCCAGAACATTTGACGATGTTGCTACCTTCCAAACAAATTCATGAAATTTCATACATCTCTTCTACACAACAGTTGTTTTTATTTGCACTGTTATGGAAACATTGGAATTGTTTCTGTTAGTAGAAAACCATAATGCAACATTTCTTAATCAACCACAAGACACTGTCTGGCCATCAAAAGAATGTTCAGATTACAAGCCACACCCAAGTTTTAGGGGATATAGATTTGGGAGGGGACAAAACAAAACATGGCTTATGTGCACACAAATGCAGAGGCTGTTCATTTGCATAAAAATATTCAGAAGTAGATGGGAAATAACCATTCCCTTAGAGAAACCTACAAAAAAATACATATGATGTAGATTAAGGAAAAGGGTTGAGTGGTAACATCACTTATACACAGGTACTATGTGGATTTTATAGTCACTAGTTTTATGAGATGTACAACACGAGTACAAATATTTATAGTAACACTTCATCAGTGGAACAAAAAAATGACTTGGCCTTACACATTGCACAACCACAAAAGAAAGACAAGGAAACTAAAATAGAACTTACCAAACTAGGGAGTCAGAAAATATCAACCTGCCTATGCCATCACACAGTAATGCAGCTGATCAATTCATATATAGGTTACTTGGCCATCAATTATAAATTAAGTTACAATTCAATATTTAAATAAAAACAAGATACTTTCCCATATGCTTGTGAAAAAATAAATACATCCTTGCATATATGAAGCACAGTTTATAGTATCAAATTTCTATTTAGTTCAGTTTTCATGGTCACTGTCCTCTTCATCATCATCTAATTCAGGCATTGGAAAGCGCAAAATTGCTGCCACTCCTGTCAACTGATCGAGTTCTGAAACAGAACATTTGCATATGCTAGATGCATGAAGTCACATTTCACTACAATTATTTATTGTGCTACCATGATCATGATGTAAAATCAACTTACGTTCTCCAGAAACATGCATACTTGAGAAAATCTTTACTTCACCACCCGATTCACGAACACTATCTACCAGGGCCACGTATCGTTTCCGCAGTTTCACATCCTGGATTCTGAAAGCATTATATTTTTATTTAGTATTCCACTACATGTAAAATCTAGTTCTACAATTTCCCTCTGGATGTGCTGGTGTAATTATATCATATACAGTATTCGCATTCCCAGATTGTACGTTCTTCTGTGATTTACATCAGTCACATTAATTTTCCCACAATTTCAATGGTTTCTGTTCCTGCAAAAGAAAGATTTCTTTGGCTCATTAAGTTCAAAGTCTCATAACTTGATATATAAAGACTCAATGATAAAATTACTGCTCCCTACTATTGAAGAACCATGAATTCTCAATGAATGTTGAGTCAGAATGGAGAGCATTTACAGGCCCAGTATTGAAAAGACACTAAATGCATTCATCTCAATGTATGTTACTTTGTTGGAACTAAGAATTTTATTGTGCATACAGACTTACCGGAAGAGATTATCTGATATGAGTAATGTTTCAATTGCCTGAGCTTCATTAGCACATTCAACATGTTTGGTACCATAAAAAGCTTTTGCAGGCTCAGTCTGCAGCATGGTGTAAAATGCTTCTAAAGCTCGAACTTCACTAGATGCTTTGGTATCGGCCATTTTTGCTATCACTGAAGGGTCTGTCAGGACTTCTGTAATATCAGGAAACAAATTACAGTAAAACCCCATTAACTGGGATGAAGGGGATTAAAAAAGAAGGCAGTCCATATTAGTTTTACTGTACAGCAAATTTGATGCATGGTATGGTATTATACATAGTACTACTATACTGAGTCAAATGCATGCCAAGACCTGGGAGTAAAGATGAATGTTAAAGTACACGTCACACTATAAAGTCAGAAATATAATGTGTTTCTTGAATTCAGAATCACACCAAGTTCAGGTGTTAAATGGCACCATGAGAAATTACGGGATGATTATGATCTTGGAGGTTTGTGGAAGGAAGTACCCATGACTCATGTTCAGTAACATTGTAAAAGTCCTGACACAGATTTATGTAGTTCAAGTAACATTTATTTATAATCTTCTACTTTACCTCTGAGTGAATGTTTGAAGCCACTTGAGGAATGGATCAGCATGAATTTACTCTTATTCTCTAGCAATATTTTGTTGTCCAACTTTACAGCCTGCTGGAACATGTACTCATGGAACTGGTCACGTACAAAGCCAGGACTGGCAATGAGGATGCACTTCACCACATCAAAATTAACATGGCGGAGAATTCCTTGCATGACACTCTCAAAATATCGTTGTAAACCCTGCACAAAGACTGATATTAATTAGAACAACACTGCACAGAGAACACTAAGGAAAAGTGCACCTTCTGTCTTAATGGATGACATCCCAGAATGTGTACAAAGGCATACAGGAAACTTTACCACAAAGCTGCACATATTCTTAAACCTCATTACTGCATATTACAGCTGCTTCCCCCTCACATCCACTGGATAACATTCAAGGTCATGTCCCAGAAATAACTGGGTTAACACAGAATAAGATGTGATTGCATTCTGATACCAGTGGTGATAGGGTAGTGCTGTTCACATCGGCACTTTATTCTCTTAATAATATGAACAAAGCATTACAACAGTCAGGTGATATGGGAATACAACATCCTTCTTCTTTAATAAATAACTTTGTTCATGTCTGGGTAATTCAAGGGTTAATTAGGCATCACACTTTCCACTACAAAAAGTTGGGTTCAGTTGGTAAGGAAAATGTGCCTTCTAAACACATGTACCATACTATATAATACATTAAATGTTACTAGAAAGCATCACACATTCCTTAAACTTCAGGACTAAATAGAAATAAAATGTCAGCTTCGTGCAACAATTGGACACCCTAGATTTGATTCCTGGCAGAGGTCATTTTGCAATCAGATCCAGATCAGTTCTAAGGGCTAGCCAGTATCCTATCCAATGGGTGCAGGACATACTTTCTCCAGCAGTAAAGCACTCAGTTGAGGAGGTGACTCTGGTATCGAGTCACATCAGAACCCTGATGATAGGGATGGAGATGGTTTCCAAAACATTAGTCTCTTTGTGCTACCAGCTGACATGGCTGATTACCCGAGAAGATTTCGTGGAATTCTAACAATGCAAAATCTGTATTAACCATCATTCATAACTGCTAAGTGTTTAGTGCTGACATGTAACTACACAGATGGATTGTTTTGCTCCACTGTTGCCTAAGTTACAAATCAATGCCCGAAATTAAAAATCGGAAGGTAAGAGTACATTGATCTCTTTATGAGATGATAATAATTGCAGGAGCAAGCTGCCATACCTCACAGGCTAAAACATTCAGTGGTCCCATTTTACAAACACATTCATACACTAACAGTAAATGTTGTAATACAACATCATAGCATTGGTTTAGCATACGTAGTTAAATATTATTACAGTTTATCTGGAGAAATCTTAGTATGTTTACATACAAAATTATTTAAACAACTTGTTAATAATGGCTGAGGAGACAAGATTATAGCTTACTGATGTATGTGGGTGGAAGAAATGAAATCATGCAACACAAATCATATGATTAACTGACCTTTTCATGTTGCTTTACATTGCCTTTTCTTTTACGTGGAATGCACTGATCTATTTTGGCTCGTACCAAAGTCATGCTAGATGTGATTAGACAAATATGTGCTAATCCTTCCTGCATCACAACAGCAGCTACATCTGCATGCTGCAAAATGATCAGTTCACATTTAAATTAAATGATCGAGTGCAAGAATGCTACATACTTTTCCAAATACATCTACTGCTACTTACCTGTGTAGGATCACATGCTGTATCAACTCGCTCTAGTGCAACAGAATCCCATTCTGATTTAGCTAGTGTAAATTTACGATTCACTTCCAGGTCTATGGTGTGGTATGCACCCATCTAAAATATATTCAATTCTTTATTGTTAGTGTGCTGTATCAACAGCCAGAAGGTCAAATACAGATACAGCAAAAAAGAGGAACAATATGATAAGAAATATGACTTCTGTATACATATTATAAATGGCAACTTAGGCCAACAATTACCCTACCATTGCTTACCTTAACATACTGATTTTCTGCTATGTTACGACCTTTCAGTCTTAGCATACATGCTTGTGTATCAAAATCAATGTTTTCAATGCGGATCGTTAATGTTGTACGAACTCTGCTACTTGTTGATGAGCCAGTTGATGACTCATTTTGCACCTTTCTGTGAATGGAAAGCTTGCAATAGGGGATTAATAATTACATTTTTATACCTACATGAGGTGTTGAAATATATATTGTTATGCCAGTTCAGAAGTTGTTGCAACTGATATCTAAATTCCTTGTCTTTTTGTTTGCATAAAGTTCTATAACACTTAACCAAATGCAATTAGTACACAAAACCAACCCTCCTCCCATTCAGTTTCACTTACTTAAAACTCCTATGCAGAACATCTGGTATCTGTCATTATCAGTATATGAATACACAAAACTGAGTTTTTGGCAGGACCCTTAATGACCATGGTAAATGACAATTTGATACTGTAACTCTAATTTAGAAAATTTTGTGGGTACCTACAAAGTTCAATAGCATTTCATATTACAAAAATGAGTAAATGGCAGACAAACATACCATATCCTATAAAACAGCACTACACATTATGTCACATTACTATGTGCTTTTGCTTATCCTAAAGAATATGGTGCACTTGATATTCTTAGTATAGTATATGATCAGACCTTATCGTGGAGGCACGGACGCAATCTCCTTCGCTAATGAGGTTGTACGCATGCCACATATCCTCTGACTCTTCTGGTATGAGGGTGACACTCCTAAAAATGCGACTTCCATGTTAATATTTCATTGAACTTGGTGGCAACATTAACCTAAAAGTACAAATTCTTGTAATGAACGCTTGATATACATACCCTCTTCCATCTTTATCAACATTTTTATTAATCAGTTTCATTTCGAAGTGGACTCTTTAATGGTCATTACAGAAGACGGAAATTCGATGAATAGTTCGTGTAAATAGTTCATGTTCCTTTCCACCTTGTACACCTACAACCTACTTCCACAATACACCGGAAGTAAAGGAAATAAAATGTCACATGACTCGAAATGTCGGAAGAAGCAACAGCGGTGTCGTAAACGACATATTCAGAAACTAAAATCAGAGGTACCAACATAACATATACAATAGCTGATGTGGCCTGCTTATTTCGTTTTAGGTTGTTTTAGCATTGTCAGCGGCAGTGAAGTAGTGTATTTTAATGTTGTGGTAGTAGTTATCGTGCTTATTCGATGTCAGAATCTTGAAATAAGTGGCGTTGTGTTTTGGCTAGTGTGTTTTGTCAGTAGTGAGCTTGGGCTTAATGTTATTTTATAATAATGACTTGAAATAAGGATCCGCTAGTACGCTGCAATTCAGATATGTAAGTACTTGCCTGAAAACGTAATATGAGTTAACTCGAAGAACGATAGCTGAAGCAAATCTTGTCAATACTAAACCTCGTGGTCACAAACTCATATTGAAGGCACCATTTGTTTTCCATAGCTGATCGTGCTGAGGAGAATATTTGGACGTAATAGCGAGAGATATGAAATAACAGTGGACTCGAGAAAATGTCATATTTTGCTTTTGTACTATACACGAATTTCTAATTGAATTGTACAAACAAAAACTGTTTATTTTAAATTATGTATATGTACAGCTTTTATTTCGAACATTTGTATTTCCTGAGCTCTGATTAAATGCAAAGAAATATAATTTCTGACTCTGTGGTGTGTGATATATGTGATTAAAACAGCGGGTGATTGTATTTCATTGCAGTTACCATGAAATAATTTAAATCGTTTATCATTACGAAAGCAGGCTCACATACTTCTTTTCAGGGATAAAAATATGGTGAATATTTTGAAAATATCACAGTTCACTTCAGTGTTCTCAATTGGAATGTTAAATCAACTGTAGGATACAACCTAAGAAAAGAGCAAGATATCTGCTTGTTATTGTTCCTGTGCTCTAAAGATGTGGGGACTTTATTTTTGTGGAACTGCAACCAGCTAATGGACACATTGTCCATTAAAGTATGCTTTGCCATATTTCACGATAACTATTCAGTGATTGGTACGTGTAGAAAAGACCCATTGAAAGTCATCAGGGAACGATTTATTATGTATCTTCATCTCTTACCCTTTTTCATTTAACCATTTCGTACCTTGTATCATTTCGTCCTTTCTCTCGTATTCCCTTCACACAATTTTTAACTCAGAACAACAACGAAAAATATCAGCAGTAACATTTAATTGAACTATTTTGTCTCCTGTATTATAAATACTTTTAAAAGATGCCTGGTGGTAGCAGCACATGTAAAATAGAACGTTCTGCACACGAACGTCGTTACTGAGAACATAGTCAGCCATGCATAACAAACACATATATCCTGTCCTTATATTATAAGGACGTATAGACCTGCAGATTCTTTGTGTTCAGAGAAGCCCCACGGTTTCGCTCCGTGCTATACATTCAGCTGGTTATTGAGAAGGTGACATTCGATTCCGTCACAGTCCACTCTAGTAGGTGGTTACCAATGTTTCGGAGGAATGTCTTCACCGTGAAGTCACGTGCTGTATCAGCACAGGTTAATGAGTCAGTCAATCTCAACTTTAGCCAATGACAACTGTAATTGTCTAAGAAGCACTCAAACCGGATTTTACCTTCATGGTTCCTTGCCGGGATTAACCAATTCATTAATACTACTGCGAGTCTTTTTATACCTTTCTTGGATCCTCGTCGTCATTTTTAATTTCATTGAGAATAATTCGATATTGTCCTGCATATGCGATCCAGCTAGTAGTGAAACTGTAAGCAGTCGGTATTCCAACCCTCTGCATATCCTCTTTCTGATAGGTTTCGATTATCATGTAAGTGACATGTTGATTGACGCGTCAAATTATGAATAGGGACAGTCTTTGTTAATAAAACGTTCCACCACGTGTTCATGTTTTTTTTCCCCTGTCAGAATTTACTGGCAGTAATTTCGTTAATTTCTGTATTCAGTTTCAGTTCTGTAAATGAACTCCTTTAAAAAGGCTGTTAGAGGATGAACATGACGCAGTTAGTCTTGTCGAAATCAGGCGATTGAGCATTCAGGAAGGAGCGAGCTATAGAACACATGTTTGAAGTTGCTGTTGCAAGATATTCAGATGTGAGGCGTGTTCATGTGAATTAGAATATCCTGATTTTCCAGGCGCATTCTTTGTGATTTCCCATATCCAGTTATCCTTTATATGCATTAGAGTCGGAATATTTTTCCTAGTATTTTTTCAAGTACTCATTACGTCGAAAAATGTTTCAAATTCCATATGTAAGTCTTAATGAGGTCTGTATTTTATATAATGTACTAATCTTAAGGAGAATATGTGGTCCAAAGAATGAAGAGGGAAACTGGCGAATCAGATATAATGATGAATTATACCATTTATATAATGAGCCTGACGTAATTAAAGTAATAAAGACAGGAAGAATAAGGTGGCTGGGACACCTGTATAGAGCCAGTGAAGCAAGAAAGTAACATTTACCAATATAGAAGGGACAAGAAAGAGAGGGGGAGCCCCCCCCCCCCCACAATTGGGTGGCTTGATGGTGTAGAACAAGATCTTCAAGCTCTCGGAGTCCAGGGATGGAAAAGGAAAGTCATACATAGGGATCAATGGAAGGGAATTGTTGGGGCGGTCAAGGCCTGTAATAGGCTGTAGAACCCGTGATGATGATGATGATTAATTTTTAGCTGTGAACGTGTTTTGAAATTATTGATAAAAGCAGGGGTCATACTGGGTCGATACGAACCGAAATTTGTCGACGCATTTTGGTAAGACGCCTGAATAGCGCGTTTAATTCAAATATGCTTTTTTATGAAACATTCGGACACACACGTCCTCCTCCTCTGTATGCTTTCACTTCATATATCTTGTGAAATTAATTAGATAAGAAAATGTTTCACAAAACAGATCATAGTTGTTAAGTTGACCAAAATGCAGTTATGAAAGTTTCTCTTCGTATTAATTTACCATTACGCCATTACGTCAAGCCCCGTAGTAAAGTTGTCGAAGTTGTGCATGTTCACTGATGTGTTATGTTTTACTGTATTATAAGACGTGTGTCGCGACAAAATTAATAGAAACATCGCCTTTAACGTTTGATCACAATGTCCCTAAGCTTTAGGTATTATTAATAGCTTTAAGTTGAAGTTTTCATCCTTAACAGAACCACGGAGTGGTCCAGCATGCGATTCCTCTAGAGCCGGTAGTTAATCTGTTTTCCTTCGGGAGGCGTTTGTCCAAACTATGTTCCTCGTGCTGAAACCTGTTTCTATATTCTGCAGCGTTAATACCGGCCACTATTTAAGGTTATCGCTGCACAGATGAATGGTTGAATTTACAATTCTTTAAAAACGAAATGGTTCTTGGGGGTCTTTCGACATTTTTCTTTCCGTTTTTCTCTTCACAGATTCATAGAAACGTTAACGATTTCCGAGTCAGACTTCAGAGTTTTTGGACGAATTTTAGACTGAATCTGAGGCATGTGGCATAGCAGAGGGACCTCAGTGGCTCAGTTAATCGGATTGCACTGTATCTTTTTCTCAAGCAGCAAAGACGGTGCACACTTTGCTAAATGAGGCGGCAGGCAAGTTGGACAAGCGATAAGGTGTTATCGCTCGCTGGCTGTAATTAAATAGCATCTCACAGGCTATAAACCGCTGCGCCTGCCTGTGCATTGCTAGGCTACAGCTTTGTACGTACTCTTTAATTTACTATCAGAGGGCTAGAGACCAACTTCTTCTTGTCAATCATCTTTTTATTGTTTCTCCATACTCATGTCACCGCCCGGTGAGGTGTGCGATGACCCTGACCAAACCACATTTTCGTGCACCCGGTCCTGAGTTAGGGGATTTCGTCTCTGACTCTGAGTAAAGATTTTTGTAGCTTGTTTAGTACATTGTATGATGCCGATAATATTAAAATGTTCCAAAGGAATAGAATGTGATGGTATGGTATGTACAGGATTGATCTGGCGTATTTTTCTGATCGCGGCAATAAACCTTTGGGTTCTATAAAAGGCGGGGAATTTCTAACAACTGACCGACCATTAGCTTTTGAAGAAGGACACAATCATCGTAAGGAGCTATCCAGAAAATATGACGGCTGCTAAAGATGACTCAAGGTGTCGAGTCAGTTATGTGTAAGTGGTTACTGTGTTTGCAGAAATAAGCTTGCCAAGCCAGTGAAGCCCTCGGAATACCGGGGTGGTGGTCCGCCGTCTGTGATTTATATACAGTAACCGCAGGACCAGAACTAGGCCAGACCCTTTTCCTGTGACTCATTTGAAGAACGTTTCTTCTTGTACATGTTTGGTCTCTCTCTTCGACGTGTCTTTTCGTTTGTTAAAGAAACAGGCATGGGTTGGATTTCTTTACCACGAGTCTCAAGTCTCGGATAGCTCCAGCTTCTCTTCCCAGAAGGATTGCCAGGTCGTTTCGGCCACAAGATTGGCTTTATACTGTTCGTCGACGTCTGCTTCTCATGCAAGTTTCTTCGGCAAATTGCTAAGGAATATGCTAAACATTCTGACTTGAAATGTGTGCTCGTCTTTATACGTATACGTTCTGTATATTGCGGATAGAATGACTATACTATAAATAACAAAGGCCGCATCTGCCCCACTGTTGTCAGTCGTATTTCATAACAACATCCCCAGGCCTTGAACTAAACTTTTGCGGTCGAGAACTACGGTAACACTCGTGAAGCCACGCTTTGTTCCAGATTGTCGATAATCCTATGCTCCCTACCTGTTGCTTTCTTATTCGTCGACCTCATATGGTTGGGTGAACCTGGGAGGTAAATGACCTTGGGTGACCTATATCCTTCGTTTGTTTTATTTGTTCTCTCGCATTTTACCCTCTGCTGCTTTCTCCTATTAGACATTTTATAGCATTTCTTTGACTAATTACATTTGCACCAATTTTTATCGCTGGTTTTCGTTTTAATTGCATCTGTTATTAACACCCAGAACTTTATTTGCAGCTTATCTGCATTTACTTCTGTTGAACAATTAACTGTTGTAACAGTCAAATTGTGTCTTCAATAAATTACGCATCTTTGCAGTCGCTGAGCATATTATTATGGCCGTCTTTAGGGGTGGACGAGATTGGTGGCTCCCCAACCTGCCGAGCTGAAGGGGACACCAAACCGATTTCTGTAGTTTGCAACATTAGGTGTTGCGCTGGCTTCTGTCACTATGCAACGAAGAGACATGATGATATCTATGACGAAGATAATGTTGGTGATAACATTTTGGAGGGGTGGTTATCATGGTCTGTATCTGCAAGGTTCTTCCTTGTGATTTGACGAGAGAGGAAAACGCCATTAAAAA